GTGAGGCGAGTGGTGTAAATGTCTTGCAGGGAGGGGAGTGGTACACCAACTATCCTCTCAGCTGTTCTCACAATGCGTTGTAGAGCTTTCCTGTTATAGTCAGTGCAGCTACCGCCCCACACAGTGATGCAGCTGGAGAGGATACTTTCAATAGTTCCTCTGTAGAATGTAGTCAGGATGGGTGGTGGAGCACTTGCCCGCTTGAGTTTGCGCAGGAAGTAGAGGCGCTGTTGTGCTTTCTTGGCCAGTGATGCTGTGTTGGTGGTCCAAGAGAGGTCCTCACTGATGTGCACCCCCAGGAACTTGGTGCTGCTCACCCTCTCCACCGCAGCGCCGTCGATGGTCAATGGGGGGTGACAGGTGTGGCCTCTCTGGAAGTTGACAATAATCTCCTTGGTCTTACTGACATTTAGCAGGAGGTTGTTGTCTCTGCACCACGTGGTCAGGAGCTCAACCTCTTTCCTGTAGTGGGTCTCATCGCCCTTGGTGATGAGCCCCACCAGCGTTGTGTCGTCCGCAAACTTCACAAGGTGGTTGGAGCTGTAGGTTGGTGTGCAGTCATGTGTCAACAGGGTGAAGAGCAGAGGACTGAGCACACAGCCTTGTGGAGCCCCCGTGCTCAGGGTGATGCTGTTTGAGACCTTGTTGCCCACACGCACCGCTTGAGGCCTCTGGCTGAGGAAATCCAGCAGCCAGTTGCAGAGGGAGGTGCTGAGGCCCAGTCTGTCCAGTTTACAGATGAGTTGTTGTGGTATTATGGTGTTGAATGCTGAGCTAAAGTCTATGAACAGCATTCTCACATATGAGTCTTTCTTGTCCAGATGAGTTAGGGCTGGGTGGAGGGCAGAGCAGATTGCATCCTCTGTGGATCGTTTCGCTCTGTATGCGAACTGGTGTGGGTCCAGGGTGGGAGGTAGGGTGGATTTGATGTGTGACATGACTAGTCGTTCAAAGCACTTCATAATAATGGGTGTCAGTGCCACGGGGCGGTAGTCATTGAAACAGGCTGGGGATGGTTTCTTTGGCACAGGTATGATGGTGGCAGTCTTGAAGCATGATGGGACAGTGGCTTGCCTCAGGGAGGTGTTAAAGATGTCTGTGAAGACATTCTTCAGCTCCTCTGCGCAGTCTTTCAGCACACTACCAGGGATGTTATCTGGACCCGCTGCTTTCCGGGCGTTGATGGTGATGAGTGTCCTCTTCACGCTGGCAGCAGACAGGCACAGAGGCTGGTCGTGTGGAGGTGGTGGTGTTTTCTGTGGGCGTGTGTTGTTCTGTGCTTCAAATCGTGCAAAGAAGCTGTTCAGGTTGTTGAGCAGAGTGGTGTCGCTCTCACAGCTACGCGCTACAGGCTTGTAGTCTGTAATAGCCTGGATGCCTTGCCATAGGCTTCTTGCGTCCTTGCTATCATTGAAGTGGGAGGTTATCTTTATAAATGTTATAAAGTTATAAAGTTACATTTAAAGTTGCATTTAAATTTGCTGCTACACTGTACAATACATATAATAATATTTATATTGTAATATCAGTTAACAGACACATTCAAGTTTAAATACTGTGTATTCATTGTGTTCATGGTGTGTAGTATTTCTATAAAGTCAAGTAACCAGAACTCAGAACAGAAGATGTCAGGAACAGCTGCAGAATATATGCGTTGTGCCCGGGGCACTCAGCCCAGGAGCTATAAGTAGTTCATATGTCGGTCTCATTATTGACCCTAGGGAATTTAGATTTTCTGGAGGTAATTTAAGTTACACCATCTTGAGTTTAAATACATACTGTATTAAGAGAAAAGAACCCAGGGCCCCGGTCTACATCAGTATAAATATATGATAGATTGGCTACATTATGCTCACCTCAAATCAACCTGAGTGTCATTTCTCTTTAGTTCTGATCTCACTGCTGAGCTGCACAACAACCCAAGGTCAGTAACCTTCTTCTGCCACACATGAAACTCTAGGCTCTTGGCTCTTGACAGATTCAGTCGCATCTTTTCTCCCTCCCGCTCATCTTATCTTCCCTGTTTGCGCTACTCATGTCCTTGTCTTGTCTTGTCTACTCTAACCCTCAGAGAGTCTCTCTCTTGTTCTCTAAACCCTAAAAAATATGGATTATTTCAACTGGTCTCTGAACGCGATTGACACCTTTTTATGGACGACAAGCCTGAGTTTGGGAGAGCCCAATTGTCCTGGTGGGATGTTTTCTGCCGGATACACGATGGACGGGTGGCAGCACTGGCGTGTGCCTGGTGGGACTGTCAATTTAGGACATAGAAGATGTATACCTATTCTGAACCGTGATAACAGGGCTCTTGCTGATCGGAGCTGGCTCGGCCCTGGCTTACTGATATTAAAGAAAGCTCTTATGGCTGATCGAAACTCCACAAGGCTAGCCGCTATGATTGAAGCGATGGGGAGGGCCATGAGCACGTAGACGGTGCTTATTGAACATAAAATGGAAAGATCTTGGAGAAGCTCACGACTGTCATGTCTGTATGCAGGCAGGAAAAGGACCCAATATGCAGACTCGTAGAGGCAGAACTTAAACTCGAGGTCCACTGCATTATTGCAGGCATAAGTCAAAAACAGAACAAAACTAGGAGGGCTAGAAACCGAACTAGAATTAAAACACACAGCAGGTCTGAGGCTATGGAAGTTAATGACGTGACAATGAACAGAAGCAAGCACAGACAATAAATACAGAAGGTCAACAGGGCAAAGAGGGAACAGCTGGGAGACACGGCTGAGGATAATTACACATGAGGAGAAAGGGAGGATGCAAAACTGAGTACACTGACTATTAATACTATCACAGTAAAACAGGAAGTGCACAGAGGAGCTGGGTGGGGAACACAGATAAACATAACAGCACAAAACACGAGGGGAAACACAGCACAAGAACTCAAACAACAATATACACACATGGCAAACGCGAGAACTCGGACTCAGTAAAAGCTCAGAATACTACAGAAACCAAAACCAAGTGAGCTGCTGACACATGAAACCAAGGAATAACACGACTCTTCAACTGGAAATTTACAGACCTGGTGACCAGTGACGGACATGAGATCAGCTGTAAAAATGTAATGCAGTTTGTTTGCACTAAACCCAAACAACCATAATTTCTCCCATGTCGCTGCCAGAAGGCTCTAACAACAAATTCTTCTCCTTAATAACGGGACTGTGTTTAGACTCTCTGTGCCACATGTTTCAAGGCCACCTGCGCCCGCTGCAAGACTGTTTACTTTTGCTTAACCAGGTGAAGGGACACTTTCTCAGCTGAACACAGGACACACACACACGCACACAAACACACACATATATACTCATCCGCCCTCCCCCCTCCAAATGCCTCCGACACCCTCTCTCGATGGTGGGTTGACTGGACAAGTGCAGGGATGCTGCTGTCTACACCGGCTCACTCTCATCCCATTTACCCACCCCTACTGTTTGTCATGTGATTCTATGGTGTTAAAATATGAAGATTCATTTGCCTTTCTGTGCCGAGATCTTTTTCTGTTCTCAATTTGTTTTCCTCTAGGAGCTCAGTATGGGTGGAGTTCTTTTTTCTCATCGTCTTCCCTCAGGGTGTACTTTCACTGTCTTCTTTTTGGCGCGTCCACGTCTGCAGCCTGATTTCAAATATAAAACTGATTCAATTAAGCATTAATCACAGAATTATAAATGTTTTAACAAAAATATTTGATATAACAAATTAAATATTTTTCATTTTAACCCTCACAGCTCGTCTGACTGTGAGTCCCAGCAGCTCTCAGATCTTTGAAGGAGTCTTTGTGACTCTGAGCTGTGAGGAGGACGACAGCTCTGCTGGATGGACTCTGAGGAGAAACACAAGCAAAGGAAATAACAGTCACTGTGGAAATGGATGGGGAACATCCGCTAATTTATCCTGTGACATCAGTTACATCGTTGAACGAGACAGTGGAGTTTACTGGTGTGAGTCCAGAGAGGGTCCCATCAGTAACATGGTTAACCTGACAGTCACTGGTAAGCTGAGTGTGTGGAGTTAGTGTTGATGAAGCTGTGTGTAAATGGATGAAATGCTGTAGTTTGTCTCTGTGTTGAGGTGGATCAGTGATCCTGCAGAGTCCTGTCCTCCCTGTGATGGAGGGAGATGACGTCACTCTGCTCTGTAAAACAAAGACCACTCCCTCCAACCTCCCAGCTGCTTTCTATAAAGATGGCTCCCTCATCAGGAAGCAGCCTACAGGTCACATGACCATCCAGCATGTTTCCAGGTCTGATGAAGGCCTCTACAAGTGTGACATCAGCGGTCATGGAGAGTCTCCATCCAGCTGGATCACTGTCACAGGTGACACACTCACCTGTCTGTGTTTCTGCAGCTTTCAACATTCACAATGTGACGACAACTTAATGACTGTGTTTGCTTTATTTTAGAGAGAAACACCACCACACCTCCACCTACATCCACACCTCCACCTACATCCACAGCTCCACCTACATCCACCTCTCCTCCAGCTTTCACCTCCATCACTCTTCCTCGACCACTCTCTCTTCCTCTTCTCTCTCTGTTGTCATGTGTTGGATCCTCCTGTGTTGTGGTTCTACTGGTGTTACTGGTTCTGCTGGTGAGACGATGTGTTCACAGGAAACCTGAAGGTGAGACTGACTCAGACTTTTTGATTTTAGATTTGAAGTTCATGTTAATCTACATGTTATAGTCTTTACATCAATAATGATTTGATGGTTTTGCATTGATGTTTGATCCCCATGGAAGTAACTCAACATTGTACAAATCTACGAATATTTCTTTGTATATCATTTTTTTTTATTAAAATCCTAACTTTAGAGTTTTTAAGTGAAACATGTTGCTGTTGAATTTGGATCATTTCACCAGATGAAGATGAACCTGTAGAAGATGACATCACATATGGTGACATCCAAATATCAACCAAACAAACTCGAGGTAATTCTGGGTGTTTTGTTACAAGATTCTTTAATGGTTGTACAGATGTTGTTGTTTGTTTTTAATGAAATGCTTTATCTCATACTTCAGAAAAGTTTGAGCTTTTGATTCTGTGCACAGACATTTTATGGCTTATTAAAATAAAGTTATTTGAGGACACTGTGGAGCATGTAAAAGTGTAGATGGATGAAACGCTCCCATTTTCTTTCAAGAGTTCTGGAGGAAGTGATCTATATACAGTTGCAGGCCCACCTTGATTTTGATCTAAAAGGCTGAGCCCCCTCTTCCCTATTCGAGCTCCTATTTATTCATGCTCCAGAGAGAACCGTGCGGTCCAGTTCCAAACGTATGTTATCTATTCCATGGTCTAAACAGAGCCTTCTGTGTGGCAGGTCCCACACTCTGTAATAGTCTGCCTCTAAATATTAGATCTGCACATTTGTTGGATTTCAGCACGAGGTAACCCACACATTGTTGTTTTAGTTCTTTCTATTGTCTTATTGTTTTATTGTCTTCTTTTTTATATTTAATTGCAAAATTGTTGTACATTTTACTTTTTTAGTTGCATTTTAGTTTGCAAAGCACTTTGTGCAGCATGAGCTTTTGGAAATGTGCTATATAAATAAGCTTGACCTTGACCTTGATTTAAGGTCATATGCTAATGGCTACGTTAGATACAAAGCCCCAAGTAGAGAGAGTAAAAATTCTAAAGCTGTAGCTAAAATGACCACCAATCACATAGCCTCTGATCAGGATTTGATGGTCATCTGTGTAAAATGCAGACCTGAAGTTTAGTCATACAAACTTTGATATACCTTAGACTCAATCTATAACATATACAGGCAGGGATTTACGTCTTTTGACCGTTGATCCTTATCACTGAGTTTCCCTGAACAACAAAGTGTGCATAAACAACTTGCATATTCAAAACTGTGAAACCATTTTCCTTGATAAAACCCCTCTCCTCAAATATGGATTCAATAATATGATTATAGGTTAAAGACTTGCCTTCATAAACTCATTGTTTTAATATGATCATTTAATATAAAACAAATTCCACAAATATTTTGACCAAACAACTTCAGTGATCTCATTGATAAGACTGACCACACTTTAAGACTGGGATGGTAGAGCAGGACGCCCACTAATCAGAAGGTTGGGTGGAAGGACTGGATCCCCAGTCTGGATGCCAAATAACCTTGGGCAAGATAATAACCCTAAGTTGCTCTCCGATGCATCCACTGGAGTATGAATGTGCATGAATGTTAGATAGAAGCACACAAATAGAAACATCATAAGGAAAAAGTGTTTGTGTGAATGGGTGAATGAGGCAAGTTGTGTAAAGTGCTTTGAGTGCTCGGTGTAGAAAAGCTCTATATAAGAATCATTTACCATTTATCATCACCACAATAACCGTTGCCCCTCCCCTTTTACTCCAAGCAAGCATCATCAGAGTCCACTGTCCACGTTAATGAGATCCCAGTGTTTGCGCTTCCTCTTGGAGGGAGTACAAATATGAAACATCTGCAATTTTCTTTGGGCCACGCTGGACCTTAACAAATAACATAGACTCATCCAGAGGTCTGCATCAGTGTATTCATGTTTTTGTGAGCAGCTGCTATATAAAAATATGAATTCAATTAAATTCAGTTATACTGCTCTGTGGCTTCAGTGCACACAGTTTGTTATCAGGGTGAAAGTGTTGTTAATATGAAGGGCATAAAAAGAGTTCTAACACCACAGCAGCTACTTCCTGTAGTTTAGTTTGAAGCTGATGACACGTCTCTGTTCTGGTGTGGGCAATGACACTGTTTATATTTTGAGAACTTGCGCTGTGGTCAAGTCTCAGCCTGCACTGAAAAAGGTGCCAGCTCTCTGGTTGGTCATCATCAGCTAGTCATTTGTTTCTCAGCAGAAGCATCGAGAAATGGAAAAAGAAAGACCATGAAAAGCTACAGCTATTTACAAACGTTACATACATAGGTCAATCTGCACACAGTCTTTTTAGCTGTGGTCTAACTGGTCTATGCTGTGTCTAAAGCTTGGTACCCCAGTTTTGACCAAACTAGGTGGGGTTTTGGTTCTATGAAAAGTACATACCAAAACAGTTCTAATGTTTGCAGAGGCCAAACACCAACATTAATATTAGGCACACTTGCTTGGCAGTTAAATTAAAACAGGTCTAAAGAGCTGACCCAGACAACTCTTTAACACAACGACTGAACATTTTCTGAAATTTAAATCATACTAAAATGTGTAGAAAATCAGCCTGTTAAATAATATACACAGACAAATAAAAAGTCCTTTAAAATCATTAAATAACACATAAATCAAAGTTATATTTTCACCAGTTGTTCATTAACTCAGACAGCCATGTCCTAAAGAGACTGATTTTACACCAGTGTACAGGCTACAAGGTTAATTAAATCAAATGTGTCATGATATCTATGCGACTTAAGACTTAAAAGCTACTATTTTTAATATGTCATACAAAGGTCACACTAAATATACCCACATGTGAGCCCACTTTCACCCTCACACTTGCTTAAAATGTTGTGGGCCTGTTAGTTGCTCACTCTGACACGGCTGTGAAGCACCTCGCTTCACACAGGTGCTGCACCACTGCTCACTGTTACTGCTTCACTGTTTCACATGGGAGCTGGAGCTGTTCCTGGTGAGAGGTCGGCTACACCAGTTTATCACAGGACATTTAGAAATGTGACTTAATCTTTCAACAAAGTCACCAAGAACTATGAAGTTTGTAATGATGTTTCCTGTTGTTTGAAATGTGTGTGTTTGTGTTCAGACTTTAAACCACAGCCAGAGACCATCTACTCTTCAGTGAAGTCCAACCACGGACGTCCAGCTGCTGGTCTCTAACTGGCCCCCAGCACCTGAGACCAGAAGACATCCACATGTTAATTTTTCACTGATATAAACTAAAATGATTCAAAACTTCAAAAACCATATGAGGATATATTTTTAACTGAAAATTTAAATGTGTATTTTGCTGCAGTGACAAAGAATATAAATATGTTAATGTGTTTCATGGCCAGAGCTTCACTGTTTATATTTAAGTATGACTCAAACACCTTGTTCTTGTTCCCTCAGCTACTACTTAATTTCTGCGTGTGAATAATAAATCTTTGCTCTCACTTATTTTCCTCGTGTGGTTAAAAGGAAATGAGTCACATATAAAGTCTGCTGCCGTCTACTGGTAACACTGAGCAATACAATAGAGCTCGAGCCAAATATCACAATTATCTATGATATTGATAGAGAGAAAGACACATTTACATTCCAGCTCCAAGCAAAGCAGCTGCTTTTCACATGACAATACTTTGACAGTGTGATATCTTTCAATTGACTCCTGAAGTCATTTGTGTTTAACTGCTTTTTACCAAAATAATGGTTCCCAGAGTGGCAGCAGGGGCGTCTAACAAAGTCATGAAGGCATTAAGGGGCTTCCACCAAATAAATATCGCATGTCTATAACTATATGTAGATTATCAGAGCTCCATTGTAGTTTTAGGTCATGATTCTGTCTTGTAATACAAAGACTTTTTCTGAATACATTGAATTTTAGCTCTGCAAATAATAAATCACTCTCCAAATTACTTAATGGCAACATGGAGCAGGAAATGGGGTTTATCACTACTGTGTTGGGCTATTGTTGCACCACAAACTTGTAAATAAACCCACTGTATTACTAAAGAGAGTCTGGGCCTGAGTCCATTCAGCCTGTGATATTCCAGCTGTTGATCAGCACCATGGACAGCACTCACACACACTGATATTCAAGCTTATGTTTTAAACTCACACTATCTTCTTCAACTGGACCAGCGCTGGCGTAAAATACATTGTGATTTGCTAAAGTAATATAAAGAGAGCTGCAAGCAACTTTTAAAGATGTGATATGATTGACCGAGAGTATTTTAGAAGTTGAATAGTTCCATAAATGTATTGCATTTGCCATCTACAATAATAAGTGGAAGAAAAAGGATGGATGGAATTTCTTCCTGGAATCACTTTATGTTTAAAAACGCCTCTAGCATCCAGCGCACTGCTGAGCACCTTCTTCATATGTTATTAGAGCAGATGCATGAAGCACATGTCTAAATATAACCATTTCAATCACAAGTGACTGAAAGTCAGAGATCTTTCTGTTGACTGTGTGTTTCGTCAAACATGGTGTAATTATTCTCTGGTGAAAAGTGCACTACTTTTTGAAATCACATCAACAAACCACAAACAACACCTGCCTAAATATTTGCCAACACATAGTTTCCATGTTATGACCTTAGAAATGGGAGCAGGGAGGAGCACAAAACAAGATTTCCTGAATGTCAGAAGAACACATAAATTTGAAAATCCAAAAAGTTCTGTAACACTCACACTCTCCACAACTTATTTAATTACCATCTCAAAAATATGTGTAAATGAAGAGAATCTTTATCCACAGTGACACTGAGGGGCGACCGTGGCTCAAGAGTTGGCAGTTCATCTTGTAATCGGAAGGTTGCTGGTTCAAGCCCCGGCTCGGACAGACCCAGTTGTTGTGTCCTTGGGCAAGATACTTCACTGACTGGTGGTGGTCAGAGGGCCCAGTGGCGCCAGTGTCCGGCAGCCTCGCCTCTGTCAGTGCGCCCCAGGGTGGCTTGCCATCTCCACTGTGTGAATGGGTGGATGACTGAACATGTAAAGTGCTATACAAATACAGACCATTTACCATAAAAAATGTATTTTCAATAGATACAGACATATTTATTATGTTAATGTCTTTTAATCAAACTATGACAACATCGTTGTTGATCTGCTTGTATCCATGTTAGTGTTTAAAGCCCAACATCTCCCTCTAGTGGCCACATATGAACATGTGTGAGGATGGTGTTAATGTAAACTGTGAATCATAGTGTTCCAGTCAGTCATCAGTGTGTCTCTGCACAGCTGTAATTAAAATGTGTTCAGAGGGCCTCAGTGTCTGAATGGTTCCAGTTCAGCTCCATAACAGCAGCGTCCCTGGTTTGATTCCTGTGTTTCAGCTCATATCTGCCTCTCTCACTGAGGGGGACGTCCACACACACACACACACACACACTAACCACTCACTGCCTTTGAACCAATAGAAAGCTGGTGCTCAGAAGAAGAGGGCGGGCTTTACTTGGTGTCAGTGACAGAAAAAAAGCTCAAATGAGTGAGAAGGACGATGAAGGAAACATCTGTGCTGTGTCTGCTCTGTAAGTAGAATCTCTGTGTTTGTTTGAATTCTTGTACTTTGACTGTCTGCTCTCCTGATAACTGATGATGGAGGAGAAGACATGAAAAACAAATCAGGCTGAATTCAAGTTCAAAACACCACGAGGACCAACTGCAGGTCTGAACTGACTCTTTATCTTTGCTCAGGAGTCGAGGAAACACTGGTTGAGAAAATTAATGCATATATGGATGGATGGATGACATATGCTAGCAGCTGTCTGTCAGCTTTAGGTATGTTTTATTCAGTTTTATTCACCTTTGTTATCCAAACTTTATTAAAAAAATATTGCTGGTGTCAAGCTGACACGAGCTTGGAAATTAGAATTGGCTGGGCTGCACTATGAATTCTGGGATAGGTTGGGCCACAAAGGATACACCCCACCCATCAGTCAAATCTAGGGAAAAGGAGGACGCATTTGTCCCCACATTTGGAGCAGTCTTCGAATTTGGATAGCCTTGGTCGCATCG